TAGCACATCCCAGGGCTGACCTCTGGCCTATGCACAAGATCGTAAACCATGGGCATTTATTCCTCTCTAGTTCCCAGTTTACTGGGGGCCTGCACAGAACAAAGACGCAGGAATGCGCTTCTGGGGAACGTCCCTTTGCAGAGGTTGCTGTCTGCAGCCTCTCGGGCCGGATACTAACGCTTCACTCTCCTTCTCTGACCAGCTGGGCAAAACGATTGGTCATTTTTCTGGGAGAAAACTATTCAACAGTAAAATGATTCCACTATTTAAGATTCAGGGCTCTTTGTTTTTTCTTACTGCCCCAGCCCCGCTTGGACAAGACAAATGTTTCATCAGCATGTAGTTTTCAAATGTTTGAAATGTCTGAAGTCGTGCCAGAGGTTGACAGTATGAGTGCATAACAATTTGAATGCTTAACATTGGGGTTTCTGCTTAAAGTTTAGATACATACTTATTGTAACGGTTTAAGGCCAGTGCGTTCGATACCTTCACTGAGTACTTCCTGAGCACTAAGCACCGTTTTAAGGCACTGAGCGTTAGCAAGCGGGGAGGAGGCCGAATGTGCAGAGGGTGACATGTTTATGGATACACAGTGGCTCATCAAAGAGAACATGGAAGACAGATTTAAAATGTATGTATTATTTTTTGGTGCAATGAAATCTTTGAGCATTTCCCATGAGTGTTTTTTTTTTTTTCAAGTCCCCTCCACGGTGTCCGAAAGCCTGTGAAATAGGTCAGAAGGCGTGTCCCAAGGCCCTGCTCCCTGTGTGCCTCGGCTAATGCACCTTTCTCCCACCCTCTCAGCCCATGCTCTAGAGACCCTTGGCTCCCTCCTCTGCCAGCCTTGAGAGTCCGCAGCTGCACCGAGCCCTGTGCACTCATCACACGGCTACTGACAAATGTGTGTGAGACTGGCACTCACAGTGCTGACCACCACAGCACCAGCAAAATACAGAGCTGAATGCAGTGTCATTCTTACAAATACCAGTGTGTTGGTCCAATCTGCACTGCTTCATATGAGAGGATATTTCAGTTCTTTCACTATTTAAATATCAATGATAAACAACCGCCTCTCACTACGGAGTGATAGACTTGGGATTATAGCCAAGTGAGTGGGAAGGAAGTTACCAGCACTTCCAATTTTGAGCAGGAGCTCCAGGAGAGCAAGGAGGAGACCCTTGCCTTGGGAGTTTGGCGTCCTACAGAGCTCACCCTCCTTATAGGCTGCACGACAGGCAGGGCTAGCTAAGTTACCAGGGCACACTTGGTTGCTATAATCGAATGATGTGGTGAAGTGACTACTGAATTTGCCTCCTTCACCAGGCAGTATTGCAGCTAATGTCCTGATTTTCCTAAGGGGAGGCATTTGAACATCTTAAGTCATTATTTTAGAACCAAAGTGGTTTTCTAAGATAATATGCCCTCATTGTAAAAATGGGGATCCCAGCCCAGGGAGAGGGATGTGACCTAGTTCCTGAACTACTGAGGATGGGCTGGCTCTATGAGAAGTCCTGCCCCTACTCCCCTAGCTAGGGATTGAGGTAGATGACTGAAAGGTGGGGGATATGCAGCCGTAGCCCCCAGAGTCAGGGTGCCCTGGAGGCCACCTTGGGCTAAAAAGCAGGGCTGTGCAACAACCCCTTCCCTGCTCAGGGCTTCTCTTCCCCCAGCCCCATCTCAGGGGCTGGCCCAGTCAAGCCAGTCTTGCATCCAGAAACTGCCCCCCCTTTTCAGAAAGCTCCCACTCCAGACAGAGACTGAGACATGGTGCGGGCTTTGAAAAGATAAAGGGCTCTTTAAAACAAATCCTTCCCTTTGTTTTGTTTCATCGTTATAGCTGGAGCAGCTGATGGTGATGGGAAAGCTGGCTGCTTAAGAAAAATTAGGAGACACATTTGGCGGGAGAAGCTTCACCGAGGGAGGGCGTGTCGCCGGGTCTCAAGGGTTCTGAAGAGAAAGGCTGCATGTGGGCCAGCGACAGGGCGAGCCCGCTCCCCTTCCTAGGGCCCACTCCAGATATTTTAATTAAAACCAGCGCGTCGACCACTAAACATGTTGTTCTCCCTCCAGTTGGAGACGTGAAAAGTTTGTGAAGAGACACAAACAAGTCATTGGGCTGCAGATGGGTGCGGAAACCCTCGGCTACCCAGTCAGCAGCAGGTTCCCAGCTTCCATCCTCAGAGCGCCTCCCCACCCCATGTCTGCAAACACTCTTGCCAAGCAAAGCCTCCTCTCCAGTTTTCACAACCATCATCTAGTGGTTCCATGGAGCAGGGGGGCGCTAGCTTGGTGGACCCAGGGAAGAACCGCAAAGCGCTGCCTTGCTCAGTTTATAAGTAGGAGTGCAGCCTCTGTATAAACAGCCTCCACTTCACAATCACCACCACACGTGGAACAGCATGCCTGCTTCCACCCCTGAACATGAACATCACCTAGTGGGGGTCAGCCCATCCCTACCATGAGCTGCGGTGGGAAACTTGTCTGCACTTGGGGAGATGATACTAGTTCTGTTTCGCTCATGCTAAACAGTTCAGGCTCAGCATGTAGAACAGACTTTCACCATCACTGACTGGAGCACCTTTGGCCCCAGGCAAACACCAAGCAGGTGCTTTTCCTTTGCTACTTGCAGGCCTGTGTTGTAGTCCGCACACCAGAGTGCCTTCTCTGGATTTGCATCCAAGGTGACAGCTCCTCACACACTAGCCTCTAGGTCACCCCACGTGGCCAAGATACCAGCAGGGACTCATGTGCCCTTTCTGCCAAGCCTGAGTTGTGATGGCCTGTCCATGTCCTGTCCCCAGCCACTACTCTACCTCTACCATGGGCAGGGCTGAGAAGACCCTTACTGCCATGACGAGGGTGCAGCATTAGGCAGAGCGCAGCTGCAGTGACAGGCAGTGATGTCAGCTCGCGTTAGGGCGGCAGGCGGCAGCAGGGTCTCCATGACACGGTGCTGCTGTCTCTGGCAGAATCTCTGCTTTGTGTCACAGCACACGATCCAGGGCCTGTCGGTGGTCCCGACCATGTCTTTTCAGATCAGCTTCTTGCCAGAGCAGAGACGAGCTCCACTCCCCACTGCACACAGCCCCTTTGTTTAAAGCTTGCCCTTTTGTCATTAATGCACTTGATGTCTATTTAAAGCTGACAGTGAGTGTGGTATCTGTTTTCCCGTCAAGAGATCATTGACAATATTAATACCTCATGTCCTTGCCTCATTTTCTAAGTACTGACACCAACCTGCAGTCGCCCACATTCATCCAACAGTTCTCTGTCTCTGGGGTGTCTATAAGCATTTTTTGCTTCCAGGCCCAAAGAAACAGTGCAGGCCTTACAAACAACTTTCAGTGCCAACCACAAAAGCGACCAGGGAACCTGTCGCAAAACTCCTCCATGGCCTGGAGTCCTGGGCACATCCTGCCTGTCTGCCATCTAGAACGACCCCTGTGTGTATCCTTCCTTCTTTTATGCAGGAGCAGGAGTGTGGCAGCTGAGTGCCCTAACCCTTTGCTTTTGTAACACTGCTGGTCCACGTACATTTGACTAGAGCCTCTCTGGATCTGCCAATACTCAACCTGCCTGAGACAGAGCAAGTCTGGCTCCCAAAGCACACCCAGCCCCCGTACCTCCAAACACTGGTCACAGACAGGACTCTCATCCTAGGTACCATATGTATTTCAGAGCCAAGAACTAAGAGAATTATTTAGGCCCCAAGAAGGTTCCCCATACACCTTGAGCCAACTTCAGGGTTTCCAGGCACCAGACCAATCTCAAAACCAGAAACTGAAGATTAGGAGCCAAAGAGAGAACAAGTGATGCATAGTACTTCTCACCCATGGCACCACGGCAGGAAACAGGCAGAGTAAGAATGAGCCACAGAGCGATGTCACCCACCCCAGAACTGCCAATAGAGGTTCTGTGACCCCAACCTTCACTCCAAATCATCCAGACCCATAAGTGTCTGCCTTGTCTTGCTTAGTTTGACTCACTGTAATCCTAACTTCAGCAGCATCTCTTTCACACAGCGAACTTGGAACCTGGCTCCCATATCCTGAATTCCCATGCCTACCAGCAGGCAGCTGTACTGGTGCCTCTCACACAGGCCAAATGATGGGCAGACACGCCTAGCAGAAGCTGTCCTCACAGGCTGATTTTTGATTCCTGGATTACTGTTGCAGACATTTTATTTGTCTGATTGTGTCTATACTTCAGAGGCTCAAATGCTATTCGTACTAAGACAATTTTGTGCTACTGATTTTTAATTGTATGCTTTTTATGGGCCAAAAATAGGTGACAACAAATGAAATTATATTTTCTAACAAAAACTTTTTCTTAGCATCCTACAAAACCTTCCTAACAAATATGGCACTTAGAATGGGTACTTAGAATGAGTTGATTTTAAGAGTTCAGAACTATGCTAGGGCTTTGGGCGTCTGTTTGATGGTGAAGCTTTCCTCTCCTCTCAAGGAATTGCAGGACATTTAAAGTACAGCCGCAAAACTTACGTAACACCAAAGGAAACATCAGAAGCCTCCGAAGCTGGAGAGGGTTTGGGATGTCTCTGAGGGGAAGCCAAGTCACGGCAGAGGCTTGCTTTAGCTTCCCTGTGCTTTTCTGTCAACACCATTTTGCCTCCCTAACCTCCCTAAGCCACCTGGGATTTGGAAGATAGCTGTATCGATTCATGATTAAGGACTTCAAAACCAGTTTACAGTCTGGCCGTCTTGTGCTTGGGGTGAGTCCATCTGCGCATTCTCACAGACTCTTCTAAGGGAACCTTGTTCCCTAAGGGTGCTCATGCTGTATGCTGAGAGGCAGCTGGGCCACATGAGCCAAGTCCCTAAAATGGGGGAGAGCGCGCTATGCAGAAAAGCCTGAATGCGAGCCACTGGTACTTGGTCATCTTCATGCATTTGAATGCCGACTCGTTCCTTTCTGGGGCTACATCCCATTTCCCTGCTCTCCGAATCATGCATCTTTAACGATGTGTTTTTTATTGGCAGGTGTCCTGGGCAAGTGCCGCTACGTTTACTATGGGAAGAACTCAGAGGGCAACAGGTTTATCCGAGATGACCAGCTCTGAAGCCACGCCCTGCATGCCTCTGCCCACTTTGTGAAAATAAAGGTGAAAGGGAAAAGCCAAAATAAAGCAACAGCTGCAGAACCAAACAATGGCCCATATCCGCATCTCTGGGGAGGAAGGCTGTGCCCACATCTCCTGGCACCTTGTGCTGACTTTGCCAGGCCTGTCAAGATCATCCTTCTGCCTAGACTGAGTGGTCACAGAGAGATTGACATGATTGCCCTTAAGCAGGTCTCATCCACCAGGGTGACAGGCAGCGGCAGCAAAGCACTCGGGCTGACAGCAGAAACACCAATGATAGATTGCCTGGCCCATCCGCTGCTCACAGGGGAGCAGAGGTCACACCTGGGGCTTCCCTGGGCATGCTCAGTGGCTGCCGTCAAGCATGAGAGAGACCAGCTTCAGCTTGCTTACTGAGTTGAGACCCTCCTGACATTGCTATGGGGCTGTTCTAGTGAAGCAGTCCATTTAGGGGAAGGCAGTGTGTCTGCTTTATTCCCCTTAAATCCTAACCTCTGGTAACTTGATGCAGCTACAGTCTCCTCCTCCCGTCATCACAGATCATGCATTCCTGGCTGCTTCCTGTTACCACCCCTATAGTAGTGCACATAGCTTTCCCAGAATCCTTAATGTAGACTCTGTCCCGTTTCATTCATTTATTAACCTGTGTGTTGCCCACACACAATGCAGTGGGAGGCCCCTTTCTCAGCCATGAGGGTTTGGTTGCACCAGGCATTCTTATTCACTTGAACCACACATATGTTCTGGCTATGCCTATAGCTGGCTTGTCCCAACCATGCGGGAAGGAGGTTTGTATTTTAAACAGAGGATGTCAGGGAAAGATGCAAGGATCGATCAGGAGGTTAAACAAAGTGAAGACTGCAGGAAACACCAGCACACCAGAGTTTATACGGTAGGTGCAAATCTTTCAAGTTTGTCCTGTCTCCTGACCTCTCGGAAGCTAGCATCTGCAGCTGTGAGATGGTGCAGAGTCTAGTCAGGCTCACACAATGCCATGCTAGCTGGATGACCACCACTCCTGCCACCCTCCTCGTACACCAGCTAATCCTTCCAGAAGCTGCACAAGGGTGCCTGCTCATTTATCTTTTGCTTCTACTATTCAGACCAGGTGACGACTATCCTAGGTACCTTGGCAAGAGCCACGGTTGATGACAGCAAAGCCAGAGAGGCCAGCCCTGCAAACTGCTCTTACCAAATGACTCGGGAGCCACTGCTGTCAGTCTGCAGGCTCAGAGAAGAACCTCTCCCTCTGTGCTCATTCATGTGCGTACCCCGTGGCCCACTGAATCGACACAGTCCTTGAATGACACCACTTGAGGGTGGCAGCACTCTGACTGTAGGTTACACAGTCACCCTTCATTGGGTGTTAACATTAAAATCCTCATGATCATGAATAATTAGACAACATCATTCTGCCACCGCTCAGGTCCGTTCGTCACCAGAGTTGAAGTCCTTGCTCTCTTGGATCTGCAACACAGCAGCCCACTAGGGTTTCCCGTGGGACTGCGCTCGGTCCTGCCCTGGCTCTTTGTCTAGAGACATCAACACGGGTTTTGTCCGTGGCACATTATGGGCAGCCCAAGCTCCGTGCAAGGGCAGCCAGACCAGTCCGATGTCATATCCAATCTCGCGACACATATATCCTTGTCTTTATAAAAGGCTTTAACCCTGCCGCCAACAATAAAAAAGCACTTGTGAACTGACCACAGAATTTTTCCATCTTTATTTTTCTTACTTGTTTACTTTTCTTAATGTCAGAACCATTTGTATCATGTGCAGGAATGTCTCCCTCCATGTGAGCTTTGGAGGCAAAAAAAAATATATATTTCTGGAGTGAGTTATTGACCACATTGTTCCCCTCTCTGGGTTGTTTATTTTCTTCAGAATGGTGTAATAACTTTAATTGCGATTAGCTTTAATTATAATTTACGTAAAGGCCACCACTGCGGTTTATTCATCTTATTGATAGAATTATAGTGAGTTCTGCTTCTCTCTAGAGGGGATAATGACAATGAATTAGTGTCGGGCAGCTTGCAGTCCCACTGTCTGTTGAGTATGATCTGCTGTGCTGGCACAGGGTGTGGGCTAGGGCTGGCCGAGAAGGAACCCAGGTTGACTGTTTATCCAGAGACATATCTCAAACCTCACTCTTGCAAAGTAGGAAATAAATCCCATCAAAGCTTGGGACAGGTTTCACAGCCTGTGATGCTCGGGTCACCCTCTCACCTAATTCCACGGAGCCTGTTCTGGGAGGATCACGGTGCCTGCCCTCCCTAGCTCCTGTCCCTCCTGGACACTGATCCCTGCCAAGCCTGAGCAGTTCTCTGCTGCCTTCGCAATGTCAAGATGATGATCACTTCCCTAAGTAACTTAGTTTTACCAAACAGTTTGTTCCTTGGGAAATAATGTCTGAGACGGTGGGGAATCCTATTAAAAATACAACTATTGCCATCATTTGCTTTTACTTTTACCAGCCTTGCTCATAAACCCTCCATCTGTTTGTTGCTTTAAATAGAAGCACTTTATGAGAGATTATCACTCGATCGGGCTGTGTACCTCAGTGTTGTGTGTTTTCACATATTCATGTGCACCAAGGAGTCAGAGGAAGCCAATCACGGATTCTGGATGAAAGGATTGCATTGTTTGCATGTGCGTTTCTAGAGATGTGGCTAGTGTGTATTCAAGGAAAAATGTCTTCCTTGCTGTTTCTAAGAAATCACCTGGTTGGCTCCTCTTTTTGGTTAATATGCAAGTCAAGAACAATCCAAAGGGCTCATCTGCATGATAGCAATGTGCCATCCCAGGGACTCAGAGAGGCAGCCTTAGATATAGGAGTATTGCCCTTCTAAAGCCCAGGGAGGACCTATAGGTAACTCCCAGAGATCTCCCATGTTGTCTGTCCCCTGCAGCTATTCTGTGCTATGCGTGCCACTCCCTTCTGATTTCAATACTCTTTCCACAAGCTTTCACCAAAGATGAAGGCCATTTGTCAATTCTCATCTCTAGCCCATTCAAATACCATGCTCCATACCACTATGAGACTCAGAGTACATGCAGGCCAGAGGGGACCCAAGCATGCTGGTTACCATTCACTGCCTCATACAGAACAGTGTGTTACATCTAAGGGGGTCTACCAGGTAAGGACTTGAGCATAAAGGAAGACAGTATTTTCAGATAGGTGGTTGTATCTTTTCAGGCCTTCGTACTACTTAATAGCATTGGTAGTAACTCTGAGTTATCATAATCATTGTAGGTAGGTTAGGGCATCAGTTGGTTTACCTCTGCATATTCACATATGAATAGCACAGACTAGGGCCCAGGGTATAATCAACTTAGGGCAAAATAGTATTGCTAAGGAACAAAGAAGTATATTCTAAGCATCGGATGTGCACAAAGGAAAATTGCTATGGTGTGATTAGGTATGATATGAACAATACCCAATGAGATTCTGCTGAAAATAAGCATACCATGACATTAAAGAGTAGATTCTTGGTTAATTGGGAGAAAAAGAAAATGACAAAGCAAGGGCAGAGGCAGCTTTCCACTACTGAAAAGGGATGCTGATGCTCAGCACTGCAGGACTACTAAAGATCATTTCATCGCGAACATCAAATAATTTTAACTATAAAAGGACTGCCACCATTAATGCTTTTGCAGTTACTCCACTCAAGACAGTGAGATGGTATAGAAAAGGTGGGCCACTCAGCACCACGGAAATACTTCATCCTAGATGTGATAGCCACTTGTAGACATGACTGACTTCAGCTGGTACCTAATATTCCACAAAAGTCAGTATCCAAAAATCTCCAGCTACTAAACTGGCTGAACGGTGAGACAGCTATTCTGTGGGCAGGCAAATAAGAGAATGAACAGTGTTGTGTCCATACCAAGTCCTTGTATATTCCTCGAGTTCAGAAGTAGATGGGCACCCTGACAAAACGGCACATTAAAACATGTATTTAAAAGATAGAGGCCTCCATGGGGGGTTAAAAATGGAATGATTCCTGCCAGAAGACAGTGAGTCGTAATTCACAGAAGGTGTGCATGTGTAAATTTAACTAAGTCACTTGGATTAACGTGTAGCATCCCTTGGAAAGAACACTGGTCCCATGAATCACATGATGCTTTCTGGAGTGGTTGCTGATGAGGAAGATGCTCTGCACATGAGCTCTGCACAGAGGCAGCCTCTGAACAGCTCTTCATGCAGCAAGCCACCTTCCCAAGAGCAAAGGAAGCCGGGTCACAAGGCAGAGAGCTCACTTTCAGGAGAGCCATCAGCACAGGGGCACTGGAGAAGACAGGGAACAAAGAGCTGCTTGTCTCACCGTACCTCAGCTCCAAGAAGCAGAGTCCAGAGAAGACTACTCCCCTGCTGAAGGGACGAAGAAGGAACTAAGTGCGTATCTTGAACTTGACCCTCATTACTCCAGGCCTGCTCCAGGAAAACTGAATCCTGGACAGGATCCCATGTTTCCTGCCTGACTTCAGTATATTTTTATATTCTATGTTTTTGGACTTCCACAAGCTAGCTACCATTCCAGCTGCTACCACCACATGAAAAGAATCCCACCTCCATGATCCATCCTGTCAGCTTCTAGGAAAGAGAATACAAAGATGGAAGCCATCGGAGAGCATCTGGTGGACAAAAACCCTTCATACTTACTGCTGGGTCTTTCGGCTGCAAGGCCCTGGCTCTGAGTGGCCAGGCAGAGGAGGACAGCAGGACTCGACTCCCTGCTCACAGCTCACAGCTGCAGCCTGCAGATCTGCTTTGGCAGTAGGTAAGGACCTCTACCACCAGCCTGAAATGTTTCCAGCACTGTGGAGGGCCCAGGGACTGTGACAGGTAAGGGACTGCTGCCACCGTCACTCTCCCAGTGTTGGTTAGATTGCATGGAACAAACCTCAGGTCACGGGAGAGGTGAGGCCCAAAGTGAGCACAAAACTGGGTGTTGGAACTCTCAAAGCATTTAAGTCCAACACTGGGAAGATCCTACTGGGACTTGTCCCAAGGCCAGTGCTTGCTGACAGAACCTTAGGGTCAATCTCCACTGTGAATG